TTTTTTTTTTTTTTTTTTTTCTTTTTTTTTTAATTTTTTTTTAACGTTTATTTATTTTTGAGAGAGAGAGAGACAGAGCATGAACAGGGGAGGCTCAGAGAGAGAGGGAGACACAGAATCTGAAACAGGCTCCAGGCTCTGAGCGGTCAGCACAGAGCCCGACGCGGGGCTCGAACTCACGGACCGCGAGATCATGACCTGAGCCAAAGTCGGACACTCAACCAACTGAGCCACCCAGGCGCCCCTGGGCTGTACTCTTTTCAACCCATACTCAGTCAAAATGGGGAAAAAAACCCTTTCCAAAAGTCTATCCCATTCTGACACCTGCAGCCTTGGTTTGTACCCCATTCTCTCTCCTCCCCTCCACTCTTGGTATAAATATCTTCTTACAGTCCTTATAACATCTGGAATATTATTTTTAATATAATTGAAATGTTGTCTTAGAAAATTTAAATGACTGTGGTAATTTTGTCAGGAACTGTCATTTGTCTGGACATCTGCCATTTAGCCAACCAAGAGTTGCTGAGTGATTACTGTGTGCCAAATTGTGCCTTAAATGGGGGTATATCCAGGTGACCCAAACACCCTTCTCAGGGAGCTTCTGGTCAGGTTAACATTTTGGAGCCCTTCCTTACCCATGAATATTGGTAGACATTTATTGAAAAATTCCTAAACCCATAATTTATGTAAATCACATGAACCTTCAATTTACCTGGATTTTCAGGTTATGTACTAAAGTTCTATTGATTGGGCTAACCTTATATTTTATATATTTTTTAATGTTTATTCATTTTTTGAGAGAGAGAGAGAGAGAGAGAGAGAGACTGAGAGACAGAGCATGAGTTGGGAAGGGGTAGGGAAGGAGACACAGAATCCGAAGCAGGCCCCAGGCTCTGAGCTGTCAGCACAGAGCCCAGTGCAGGACTCAAACTCATGAACCACAAGTCATGATCTGAGCCAAAGTCAGATGCTTAACCAACTGAGCCACCCAGGCGCTCCTATATTTTATATTTTAAAAGAAGCCTGAGTCAATTAGTTCACCCCAGACGATAATAGGATCTAACATATTCAGTATAGAAAACCGGAGATGATAAATATTTCAGTACCAGGCACTTCCCAGGTCCTATAATGAATATAAATGGTAGCTGAAAAGCCCTTGTTTGATATGGCATCTTATTGTCAAAGTTAATAATTTTTAAAAATTGATTTTGAATAGTAAGTACCATGTATACAGTCAGCATCTGTGAATATGACTGAAATAATTTGAGTAGAGAAAAAGAGCCCAAAAGGCTAAATTTACCTACCCTAAATTTCATAAGTACTCGGTATTTTAAATGCCCTAGCCAAATTCCACCTTCAGATCACATGCTGTTTCACTGGAACTTTTCAGATTATTTGAAGAGAGAACAGGATTCTTAGAACAGCAAAGAAGAATTTAATCCTTATCCAGAAAAGTTACCATTTGTTCTGAGAACACCGTAACTTAGATCAGGTCAATTATATGGGTATATGTACCTCAAGTTTACTTTCCTCTGAATTTGTAGCACATTGGAGATGGTAAATCTTCATTATTTCCCTTTTGTTTCTAAGTATTGTTTTCAGCTTAAAGATTTCAAAACTTGAACAAAAGTGAAAAAAAAAAAGAAAATGTCGACTTGTGTGGTTATTAGCTTTTTTCTGCGTTGAGAGACCAGGACTTTTAAAATAACATCAGCATGGTTCTTTCATGGTATCCCTGGCCCAGCAAAAGGCAGGAAGTCACAGAAGTCTCACAGGGCACCATAAGCATCAGGCCCCTCTGTTGTTGCTCAACAAATACCAAAGAATAGTAACCACCTGAGGTTCGGACCAAAGGAATTCTGTGTATCTTCAGATCAGCGTTATTCCCATACTTAAGTATGCACAACAGAGATGGCTGGAAGTGAACAGCAGTCATTCCTGTAGAGACTCAAAGGTAATTTCTTATCCATAATTTTAAGATTAAAAATTTTTAAACGGCTCTAAAGAAACCTACAGGGCATATGTTTTCAGACCTGTTTTTATGGCACTCTTCTGGGCTTAGAATAGAAATGATGCCATTTCCCCAGGCTGGCAGTGGGATGGATGGGCAAATGCTGCCACCTTCTGGCCATAGCCTGGCCAAATGGAAAGCTGGAAAACCCTCCAACACCATACAGACATCGTTTGAAAAACAAATAACTTTTCCAATGTTTTTAACAGGAGTGTGATCAAGTTCACATAGATGATGTTTCCTCTGATGATAATGGGCAAGACTTAAGGTAAGCCATGCCTTTCAGTATGCTATTTCCTACAGAAATTCGGCTGCGGAGTTTTGCACATGTAATTATTTCTTTTATTTCTTTTTAATGTATTTTGGGTGTTACAGTACCTACAGTTTTGCAACTGATGGCTTCCATGCAGCTGCAAGTAGTGCAAACCTTTGTTTGCCAACAGGTGTAAGAGGAGGGGTTGACTGGATGAGGAAGTTGGCTTTTCGTTACAGAAGAGTAAAAGAATTATACAACACCTACAAGAACAATGTTGGAGGTATGTGCGGCTCTTTAACTCTAATAAAGCTACTGTAGACAGAGGTAGGGTTTGAACTGTAGTGCCGTGTTCCGTATTAGAGGCTATCCTACTCTAAGGTAAATTACCAAGCGCTCATGCTGAACTACTCTGTCAGAATTCTAAGTCCCTTAGAGTTGGTAGCAGAAAAAAAAAATGTAAGTGCAAAATAAAATGTGCATCTCTGCCAAAAGAACTGGGAATTCTTTGGGCCCAGATACTTGGTTAAGATTTACAGCAGGGCATTTCGCTTACCCCTCGTCAGCAGACATTGTTAGTGTAAACCAGACAGAGGAAGCGATTGAGGCAGCGGGAAGACCTGTCTAGAAGCGAGGGCCCCCAGTCATTAGAGCACAGTTGTTAGTCATCATTACCTTTCTGGAATTCTTTTAGAAATAAATATCAACAGTGCTTTATGTCATTTCAAAGACTTAAGTCTGTATTTTGTAATTGCACGTTATCTGACAGTGTATCTTTCCCATGTATAGTATTAAATGTGATTATCATGTTTTTTTTTTTAGTTTATTCATTTATTTTGAGAGAGAAAGAGAGAGTGAGTATGAGTGGGGGAGGTCAGAGAGACATAGAGAGAGAGAGAATCCCAGTCTCCACACTGTCAGTACAGAGCCCAACATGGGGCTCGAACCCAACACCTGAGCCGAAATCAAGAGTCAGATGTTTAAGCGAATGAGCCATCCAGGCACCCCATCATGGTCTTTAAATGTTCAGATACTCTGTGGGTTATATCTAAGCCATTTTATTTTCATTCATATATATGGGTGATATTACAACTTGTGACCTCAAAACTAAAATCTTGGATGTTCTTCTTGGTAAAATAAACCATAATTATTTCTATTATTACGATCAGTTGTAGGTCAGCAAGATTCTAAGATTAGCTATGAAGTCATATAAATTTTTTCTCCCAGGGTTTTCTGTCTCTCTGTCTCTCTCTCTCTGTCTCTCTCTTTCTCTTTTTAAAGGACGGATGGTTGAGGAGTTTAAATCAGAATCTAATACTGAATGATAAGCTATATATACTTATGCATACTATACAAATGTGTATTTATATACATATCATAGAATACAATACACAACAGTAAGTAACATTTTCATCTCTAGTATATATTATTACACACACCACACATGTCATGAGGGCAGGGCTGTGTTTTCTGTTCATCATGTATCCCCAGTGTCCAGCTAGCCCTAGGTGCTTAGTAGATACTCAGTAGCTACAAGAGAACAAAGAAAACATGTAGAACCATAATCAATACTCATGTTATTATTATTGTTGTTAGAACCAAAAAGGATCTTAGAAACGAGAGATCTGCGGGGCTCCTGGGTAGCTCAAGTCAGTTAAGCGTCCACCTTCAGCTCAGGTCACGACCTCATGGCTTGTGAGTTCGAGCCCAGCGTGGGGCTCTGTGCTGACAGCTCAGAGCCTGAACCTGCTTCGGATTCTGTGTCTTTCTCTCTCTGCCTCTCCCCCACTTGTGCTCTGTTTCTCTTTCTCTCTCTCAAAATAAATAAACATTAAAAAAAAAAAAAACACAAATGAGAGATCTTCATTTCCCGGTGAGAAATAGGCCCGGCAGACTTCTGACTTGTCCAGGGTCCTGAGCAGACAATTCCGGTTTCCTAATTCACTCTAAAGCTCTATGTAGGACACTTTAGTAAAATCAAAGAAACAGGTGTTCTCTTTCACATCAATTGTGGGCAATATGCTTAATTTTGAAATAATTCCTTTGAGAAATCTGAACTAAGTTTTATCATTCAGACGTGACATTGTTTCCCTCGTGAAGGGTAATACTAAAATCATTTAAAAATGAACAAGATGAGTAATAAATAGTATTATAGCTTTAAAAGTTTGGTGACATGTAAGTCCATTTTTCTGTGCTAATCTGTTAGCATCGCTATATTGAAATAAGGACAAATGAGTTGCTAAAAAATAGAAATTTTGATTTAAAAAATCCTCCACCTGGGGCGCCTGGGTAGCTCAGTTGGTTAAGCGACCAACTTCGGCTTAGGTCATGATCTCACGGTTCGTGAGTTCAAGCCCCCGCGTCAGACTCTGTGCTAACAGCTCGTAGCCTGGAGCCTCCTTCAGATTGTGTCTCCCCCTCTCTCTGCCCCTCCCATGCTCGTGCTCTGTCTCTCTCTGTCTCTCAATAATAAATAAACATTAACAAAAATTAAAAAAAAAATCATCTACCTGTGTATGTGCTCCTGATGCCCTGAAATACAATTTAAATAAGAAACTTATTTCTGGTGGATTGCATGATCTTATTTTTTTCATAAAAACAAGGGCTTTTGAAATAAAAGAGATAGCATGCCTGCTTCTTCTCTTACCCCAACATTAGTGCAGCTTTAACCATTGTTTATAACCGTGTCGTATGCTTCCGAATTTCAAGCGCAGTTCTTGCCTTTTTTAAAAACAGAGTATTTGTGATAGCTTCGGTACTACTTGGCAACATAGGATAATGTCATCATTGCTGGTTAAAAGTGGTAATGATTGTGATTATTAAGAAGTGAAGCATGTTCAGATAGCCAGAGTGTTTGAAGTTTGAATCCCTAGACTGGTGAAGCCCCACCTTCTTCTCCAGCTCTATTCTATCACTGTCTTTTGGAGTGGGACCCAGGCACGGGAACTGTCGCAGCTCCTCAGGTGGTGGGTGCCCACCGTGCCAGATTCTAGGTTCAGTGAGTACAGAGACCGAGATCCACTTTTTCACTGTTACATCCCCAGTTTGGGGCCCAGTACCTGAAACCTGAGTTGTTTAGTAAATGTTTGTTGGGTGAAGGAGTAATTAGTTCTGAAACGAAGGATCAGTATTGATCTAAGTCAGTCTCTCTCGGCTTCCGATGTTATCTATACTGGACAGAAGGGAGGCTAAACTAGGTTTTCCTGAAAACTTTTCATCTGTTGATTCTACCTTGCTTTTCATCGTTGCAGGACTCCTTGGCCCTGCCAAGAGAGACGCATGGTTGCAGTTGAGGGCAGAGATTGAAGGTCTGACAGACTCCTGGCTAACAAATGCACTTAAATCATTATCGATTATTAGTACTAGGTAAGTGGTATTGTTGCACTTTCTATATTTATTATATTCAAGATATAGTTTTAATAGTGTAATATGCATCATTTTTTTTTAATTCCTAGAGTATTTTAGAGTTTGAAGGAACCTAAGAATGTAGTGAATCTAGTATTTTCAATGTACATTGAGGGGGAGGTGTATGGGGGGTGGCAGCTGGGAGTTGATGCTTCTCAGAATAGCCAGGAGATCCTTTCTCTTTACCCTTCTTTCTGCATAACTACTGGCAGTCTCCACAGGAAGGTCATGTGACTCGCAATCAAACAGGAGCATGTAGTTTACCCACAGAGTGCGTATTTTAAAGTGTCTTAGGCCATTATAGATAATATACATGATTTAAATGCAGCAAAATAGTAAGACAAGCCTCTTTGAAGAACTTGTAACCCTTGTGTTGTTTGAGCTAAACAGAGAAATACTGACTTACTGGTAACAGGCAATAGAACTGAATAGACTTCTGACTACGTGGGTATGGCGTGTGCCATAAATGCTACCTAATAAAATAACATAAACCTGGAAAGTGATAGCTAGTTGAGGTGGGGATGAATCTTCGCACCATCCTGTTCCCTCATTTTACTTCTGAGTTACGTGGGCAAGTAGAAGCATGCTTAGCAAACCTGTAAGTAGCACACATGCAGAGAAAGACTATGTGGACTGATGGAACCGGGATACAGAAAGCCTTGGCAGGGTAAAAAGAGAGTCCCGGATTAGAGCGTGGAAGTAGATGTGTGTGCCTGAAATCCTGCACGTGGCTTGTAGCCGCAACACCGGCAGCAACCACATCGATGGTGGGAAGGATAAATGGGGCGGGAAGGGAGCCGTAGTGTCCTGGGTCAGGCTGGGAAAGCCAGAACAGAGTACTTTGCTTTAGTTCTGGGCACCACATTCCAGCAGGCGCTCAGACATATTTGAAACATCTTGTTGGACCAGCAAAGTGTCCAGAAGGGTTTTCGGCTGTGGAAACCACATAAAAGGAACAGCTGGAGGGAGGAACCAAGGAGTTTAGTTTGAAGAAGAGTCTTACATGGAACACGATTACCGATGTCAATTGTTTGAGCTGTTAGGCCAAAAATAAACATCTCTCTCTGGTCTGTAAAGGAGAGAATTGGGAGGGATGAGTAGGAATCCTAGGAAGGAAGGTTCTAGGTCTGTGTAAGGAAGAATTGTCCCACAGTTGAAGCTGTTTTAAAATGGGACTTGCTGCCTTGTGATCTCTGTAACTGGTGACATGGGGATGAAGGGTCAAGGAGGCTGGGATGTGAGGCCTCCTAAGTCCCTGAAATCGTGTGCAAAATGTAGGGGCATGTGCATTTCCCTGCGGAGGTGGTCAATGGCTTTCATTATTTCTAAAAGAGTTCTAGATAGTTAAAAACCAAGGCTGTTACCTTGTTGTGTAGATTATATGTGTGCTATCCATAATATAGAGAGATTATTAGTAAATGCATGGCCTTAAAGCAACTATATGGGTATGTGATTTTCAGAAATAAAAATATTAACAAGGAAAAGGAGGGGAAAAATAAGTCATTACACATTGAAGATTTAAATGACGTGAAATTTGCTAAGCTATCCACAGGGATGACCATATTGGTAATTTTTTTTACAGAATTTCTAGGATATCAGAAAAACAGAGGCTTTTACAAAAAGGCAGAATTATATATCAGAGTCTTTAGCAGAGGTTGCCCCCTCCAGCTCTAATTCCTCCCCTGTGAGTATAGTCAAAGGACGTACTCAAATGTGTAGGAAATTTTTCTGTGTAAGGCAGCATTATTTACAATATTTAGAAATCAAAACCAGTGACTGAGTGAGCCTCACTTTATTTTTTTTTTTTTTTTTTTTTTTTTTTTTTTTTTTTTTTTTTTTTTTTCAACGTTTTTTATTTATTTTTGGGACAGAGAGAGACAGAGCATGAACGGGGGAGGGGCAGAGAGAGAGGGAGACACAGAATCGGAAACAGGCTCCAGGCTCCGAGCCATCAGCCCAGAGCCCGACGCGGGGCTCGAACTCCCGGACCGCGAGATCGTGACCTGGCTGAAGTCGGACGCTTAACCGACTGCGCCACCCAGGCGCCCCAAGCCTCACTTTAAAGAATTATGTTGGAGCCACATACAGTCTTCACACATTCTGTCTTGTTAGGAAAAGAGGACTAGTAGACAATATGACATAAATGAATAGGCTCACGATATAAATGAGTGAAAAAAGTAGAATAAAAACTTAGATATATATGAAGTATGGTACTAATGAGAAAAAAAAAAACCTGTACACAAATAGAAATTCTGAAAGTAAACACACAAAATGGAGAAACCAGTTACCATCTCTGGATGGCTAAATAATTGATGCTGTTCGCCTGTTCACGTTCTTTATGTTTGTTCATATTTCGCACAAGTATATACATGCCATATATAAATATATGCAATGTTTGGAATTGAAAGTTACAATGCATTATAAATTGGATATAAATATATGCAGTGTTTGCCACTTATAAATCTGTAATTTATAAATGTGTGCAACGTACGCCATTTAAAGAAGAAATGATATAACTCCAGTTATCACACGGTGTAAGTGGCAAAGCTAGATTTCCCGATATTATTTCGATCCAGTGACGTGTTTGTGGATTATGCCTGATAATCTGCCATTATTTGGGGAGTTTCTTTCTGATGATAGGCAGGCAAATCACTTTTCAGGTCTTTATTTCCTCATCGGCAAAATTAAGGATTGCATTGGTGGTGCTTATTAAAGTTCTGCCTCTCGAAGGCTTTGTTTCTTTAGCCCATGTAAGTGATAATCTCATCATTTGTCTCCAGGAGTTAGAGCTTCTGTTACAAGATCAGGGTACCTCTGGAAATAATTTACAAATGGAAATGTTTAAAAGGCTGTCATTATAAAGATTTTATAATTGTTTTTGAATAAAATGTAGTTTTTCTTTATACAGGATATGTCTAAAGAATATAAAGCATGATATTAAGTGTACTGGGGACTCAGTATATACATACCCATGAAGAGTTGACACTCAGCTTGCTCTTCTGACTTACTGTTGAAACCAGGCTTCTGATAATCAATCCAGAGAATTCTAGGGGCCCTTACTAATACGTATTTAAGGCTCCTGCTACAAAATACCAGTAGAGAAAGGCAATCCGAGTCCCAGTTTCATGTGTGTGGTGTAAGCCCCTCAAGGCAGGATGGCTCAATTTTCCCATAATCCAGAAGGAAGGACCACAGTCCATTCTTTCCAGATCTCTGCCTCACAGTTCCCATTCTCTTGGTGTTTCCTTTATCTCCCTGCAATATGACTGTGAAAGAAACCACTGTAAATTGTAAAATGGAAGATTGTGACTTTCAAAGAGGAAGGCCTGTGTAGGTGGATTAAAACTGGGTCCATTAAATGCAACCCTATGTTGTTGTTGGAAAGGAGATTCAGAGAGTCACGTCTTCTGGACTAAATAAGGGCCCTCTCATTCTTCTCCAGAATCCCCATCTGTCAGCCCCTTGACTGGGACACTGGGCTATTTCTTGCACAAAATCCAAAAACTACTTTTACCCATCCCATTACCTTCTTTCTGCCTATGTCCACTACTTTTCCAGGCTCTGAAAACCCTGAGACATAGAGTCTTACCACCCTAAAAAATTACCTCATCTGGATACTTGTAAAACTTAGAGCTAAGCCATCCCTCTGATAACCTTCCCATGATTGCCACTGGCTGAGGTAGGTATTCTTCTCTGAGGTTCCACAGGAGCCTGAGGAGATCCTTATTATAGAACATATTTCATATTGCAGGTGTCTTATTGTGTCTCTCCTGTATCTCTGGGATGCGGGGGGCAGGGGAGGGGGACAAAAACGTCATTCATCCATGACTTCGTTTTGCCCATTTTCTTCCACTTCCCCCATTTGGGGATGTATTCCTCGCACCTGTCATGGTACCTTCCAGATAGCAGGCGCTCCATAAATAGCTGTTGATGTTTAAAGGTTAGCTTATCAGGACCCATTTATTATGGAGTTGAAAGACCACAGTGACAGTTTAAAATCTGTGCCATTCGAAATTATTTAGTATTGGAAAACAACTATGCATATTTCCTCCCTATCTTAGGAGTAACTGCGTAAATGTCTTGGTAACGACAACCCAACTGATCCCAGCTCTCGCGAAGGTTCTACTCTATAGTTTAGGAGGTGCTTTCCCCATTGAGAATATTTACAGTGCAACTAAAATAGGTAAGACAATTACTTCCAGCTCTGTGTGGAATGTGCTCACAGCTGGGTTTTGGGGGATTTCCTTAATATGTCTGTCTGCATGATTCCCTCCTCCATGAGTTTTGCTATTAGATTATCAAGCAAATTTGAATGGAGTGCAAATAACAAAGTACCCTGAAACCCAATGTATGTGTGCAAATTTTATGAAAACTGTTGCCCAGTGAAATTCTGAATTCAGTATCTGGACGATTCTGTTTGCTTACTTATGTGTTTGTATTTACACTTCAGGACAACACGTGTTTTCTAAATACTAGACAGTGTCTTTAGCCATGGTATTTAATACCTTAATGATTTAATATCTTAAATATCTTAATTGCCTCTTTGCAGATGCAGTAATCTAGATCTAAGATAAAATACTCTTTTGACATTACAGGGGAGTGCCGGATGGATTGAGTAGGATCCTACACTTCAGAAAAAAAAAATAACAATTTCATGAATTATAACCCACGAATGGCTAGAAATACACATTTCCAAAAATGTTCAATCAGTAACCAAAGAACTCCAGCCTTGTTCATTTGCTTAATATCTCTCTGCAGAGCCATCTTGGAGTTTTAACTGCCTTTCACAGACCAAGTCTCTAAGCATCTTTCAAAAACAGAACTTCCTGACTTCTGCTGTCCTGAAAGAGTTAAAAGAAAACAGCTCCTGTATTCCACTGTCTGTCAAGGAAATGACTGGGGAAACAGGTTGTCTAATGCACCCTGAAGGTCAACAGACTTAGGGTCTGGCACCTTGACAAGAGTTCAGAATCCTAAAATCCCCTACCAAAAATAACCTGCCCTGGGTCTCGCCGAGTTTTGATATTGGCACAGGCAGAAAGAGCCCCCATTTGCAGCTGTTCCAGGAGGATGGTTAAAGAGAGCCAAGCCTTCATGATGTCAATTCCACATTGTCACGGCACTACATACAGTTCAGAACCCTGATACCAATCCCATTCACTTCTTACATAAATGTATGTATTTACGCCGCAAGATTAATGTATCACACTTTGTCTTCCATTCTGGCAAATCAAATAATTTGACACCAGCATAAACATTTCTTCTAGGAAGGACAGTATTCTTTTTTATTGGTCAAATTGTTCCTTATATTTAATCTGAAAAAAAAAAAAACCACAATCATTCTTATTTTTCCCTTTAAGCTAGTATTTTTTGGAGTTCTGAACTATCAGATTAAGAAAAAAAAAATGCAAAAATAGCCATGACTGCATGAACATTCTGGGAATGAAATTCAGAGGATTATGGCAGTGTTGTAAAATGAAGAACATGTAGAAATTCCACGGTGTTATTCTCATAGTGCAATCAGAGGAGACGGGTGTCACCAGTGCTGTGGCCCAGACAGCACCCTTGGTACAAGTAATCTGAACAGACTAGCTCCTAGCCACTTGAAGAAGGGAGTTTTTTTTTTTTATCTTTTTTATCAAGGTAAATTTACATCTTAGTATTTCCTCTTTCCTTACAGATCAGCCTTCAGTTTTTTTTTTTACAATTCTGTTTTTAGCCAACTTGTCTATACTGCTCAGACGAGACACAATTGATCCGCAGGGTTAAACAAATAGATATTAAAACTCACAGTTGCTTATCAGAGTTGTTCCAGAATTCTCTTACTCATGTACAAGACGCTGACATTTTCTCTGGGCCAGATGCTTAACCCTACTGGCTTTTGTGGAGTGTGAGACACATTTGTTTAATAATCTGTCTCAAGCGAAGACTGACATTATTCAAACATATTGGTTGATTTCGTAAACCCAGAGGTTGCAAGCTAGTTTAAGTGATTGATGTTCGAGAGAAATTAACCTAACACTTTATGAATCTTTAGGTTAATGAATGCAGTGGCTGGAAGAATAAGCAGTGCATTGTTTTTCAGGCAAGGAAAGCTGTTTTGAGCGTATAGTGTCCAGGTTTGGCACTAACATAACTTATGTTGTGATTGGAGATGGCCGAGACGAAGAACATGCCGCTAACCAGGTAACTTCACTCTGAACTTTATCTCATTTATCTTCCAGGGAAAGAAAGTTGCTTTGAACGAATAATGCAAAGGTTTGGCAGAAAAGTAGTATATGTTGTAATTGGGGATGGTGTAGAAGAAGAACAGGCAGCAAAAAAGGTAACCTGTCTCAAACAATGTTGGTGTGATAACTTCTAATGCAAGCTTTTGTGTTTGCATTCCTGTAGTTTGGCCCAATGGCAGCTTGACAAATGATCTAAATTTATAGATGCAAAGCAGTAAAGAGCATGAGAAGGTCGATACTTACATTCAAATAAACCATTTGGAGTCTAGCATTTTTTGCCTGAAATTTGATAGAAATGTAGGAAAATTCAGTCAGGTTTATTTACGTGCGTGCGTCATGCACACAGATCCAGTGATCTTTAAGAAAGATGGGGGGGGGGAACCATTTTTAAACACGAAGGTCCACCTGATAAGTTTAATGAGCTCCGTAGAAATCACACGAGTGACTCAGTTCTTCCCTTTTTGCTCACCCAGCTTTTATGCCCTATGGTCCTGGTGAACGCCTTGTAGTAAGCGTGTTCCGTGGTGATAAATGCTGAGGCTATTTTTAATAGCTGAAGAAAAACCATGCTAGCGAAATTAATAAAGGCTGTTGGAATGACGTGTATTATTCAGATCCTTTGGTGCCAACTTGTCATAGAGACTCAGAGGCAGTATGCCTCGTATCTTCTAGAAGAATGTTGTCTGTTTTAGTGAGATGTCAGTGCGTGATTGCAGCCAAGCAGCTGGCGTTGAACATATTCAGGAGACCTCATAGGCCCTAGGTACTTAAATAAGCCCTTTCATCTGGCCCATATTTCTGAAGAAGAAACTAAGGCAGTTAAAAACCATGAAATTATCAAAAGATCATTAAGTGGTCAAAAGGTCAAAAGAGGAGTGATTCCAAGATTGGTCCTAGACACCAAACCATCAGTCGAAACAACACTGAGATCTAATGCTTCCTTTACTGAATGACCGCAAAATATCTATCATCTGGCCAGGATAAAAATCATAGAATTCATAAAATAAAGCAAAATGATAACTGCTGTTTTTAAACAGCGACACATTGGCTTATCTTGTTTTACATAAAAAGAATGTTGTCCTTATCCTGAGGAGACCTCAAATCATCATCGAATAAAGCCTTCACTGAAACACTTGTATGTGCTGCTGTGTTCACCTGATGTCTGTTTTCGAAAAACAGGAGGGAGAGGGCTTAAGAAAATTTATAGCTATACTAGAAAGATAAAAAACGTGATTTATGTTTGTAGATCATTCAAATCAAGCAAAGTGAAGAAGGAACTTCTACTTTAGAAGGTTTGGTCAAGTATTGGAAGCCGTAATTGAAAAATCTCCTGCTTTTCCATAACCTTGAGAGAGTTGGTGCAGGCTCTGACGCCCGCAGAGCTCTCGGTCTCAATTAGCCGTGTCAGTGACCCCAGACCGCACCCTGCCCCCCCCCCCCCAAAGGACGTTCTGTAGAAGGCCAGGGATGCAGCCTCAAGAAACACCACTTTCAGTGTGGACCGCTACATAGAATCCCCCTCGTTGCACACAGTTGAAATAACTTCTGGAGTTTGTCAATGGCCTGAGTCCATCTTGTTTCGATTTTTCATGTTGGCACCAGAATTAACACACAACAAGTAGTCAATGCAGCCACTGCCGCACACATTTTGCAACTCTTGCAGCTTACGCGAAATTCACATCTGTCTAGGTCAGGGCTAATAAAATTCGCTTTTCCAAACCAGGAATGTTATATGCCTTTGAAAATGAAAATGTAGAGAGTCTACACCGTTTGCCCGTGGTGTGAAAAACAGGATGTGACCCAACAGTTGTCCTCCCCTCTGCTTTACACCTGAAACTTCAGGGGAAAAAGGCCTGACTCCAAGTGGATGAGAACCTGGGTTAGAATGCTACTTCCAAATGGTTGTTTATGTAGGTGCAGTTTTGGTGATGGTGAAGGCTTACAGCTCTGTTTTGAAACACAGGTGGCTGGTTCCTCTAGTATCCAGGATGCATGCTTTTCTTTGGATGTGGCTGTTACCGCATGCGCAGAAATACAAAGTACTAAGTACTATGTCGTTACTATAAATAGATCTGAGCTGAATGGAAAAACAAAATGTTACTTTACGTGAATAGCTGTGCTTTCATTGGACCTAGAAACATGCTTTGTTTTGCAAATTTTAGCAGAAAGTTGAAAGTTTAAGAACATATAACCGCACTCCCCCATAGGAATATATAATGTGAGCCATTATTGTACTTTTCAGTTTTCTGGAATCTGCATTTAAAAAAAAAGAAAAGTAAAAAGAGACAGGTAGAATTAATTTTAGTAATATACTTTAGCCCACTATGCGTAAAATATTACTGACTCGACACCTAACAAATGTAATAATTACTAATGTGATGTTTGTATTCTAAGTCTTTGAAATTCAGTATGCATTTTGGACAGGACTTGCCATATTTCAAGTGCTCACTAGATACATAGGGTTGGTGGCTACCATATTGGACAGCAAAGAATTATAACAATAGTGATTATTAGTTGAATGTTTAACTTTTATACTAAAATATTTTCCCTGTTTTATATATATGGATATATTTATTTCCATTGTATATATAGATATATATCCCATGCATATATATTCTATAAGGTGCCATCAGCCCAAAATTACAAGTAATGCTTGACTTTGTTAATTGCTATAGTGCATTATTTCTTTGTTTTCATTATTGTCCATAATGGCGAATTTTTCAACATTTTTTTTTCTAATCACATTTTGTCATGAAATTTACCACACATATACCGTATCCTGGTATATCTTTGGAGAGCCACAAACCATTGTAATGTCTAAGCATATTTTCCCCACAAGAGCCCATTATTGTTCCTTCGGGTACATATCGCTCCTATTGTGAATGGATGCCGGAGTGCGAAATTTCTCTCAGTCCCACACCATGAAGTAAGTTAAGTCAATGCTACCTGCTTAAGTTATTACTTACCCGAGACAAGGAAGAAGATTGATTATCCCTGCATTGTTTTCTACCTTACGTAGTCCAGCTTCAAATTATTTTTTACATACAAAAGAATTCACCCTCTTCCTCTCAAATAGATAAAAAGCCTGGGACTTAGGAAGTGTGTCATTGTCAAAATTTTGTTTCTAACTGAGAGGGGAACCCTAAGGAGTGTTGTGGTTAAAAATCGCGTCCCCTCAGCCAGGGAGGATTTTGATGCTCAGCTTGCACCCCCAGATGCTAATCTTGGTAATGATACGTTCCAGAATAAATACTAAACCACTTCAGAAATTTCAGTATTTGCTTTTATAAATATTCAAATCCAGTTCAGATCTATTTCTCTCTTATTTGAAGACAGTATGATACTGATGTTACCGAGCCTTCAAATACAATCATGCCTCCCTTGAATGTGGGTGAACCACACGTTTCTGTGTCTACTGTTGCTTCGTTGAGACAATAGTTACGATTTCTCTCCATTCCTTCCCCTTCTCTCCCCCGTACCTCCCTCTGTCAACACACAGCACAACATGCCCTTTTGGAGGATTTCAAGTCACTCAGACCTCTTGGCTCTACATCAAGCACTGGAATTAGAGTATTTGTAACTGTGTTCTCTAGCTGGAGATCCATTTTTTTTTATATATATATATTTCAAGTACACTGAATTTTTATGTGTGATTCAATGCCTCTGGCTTTTACACATATAAATTGTCTTAAAGGATGAAATCATATTTGGAATGACAGTTCCAGAATGAAGAATTCAGATTGCTGAATGGAAGTTAAACTTTAGTGCTACAGAAAGGAAGCTCTATGGTCTTATATTTACAACACTTTAATGTTTAAAAAAAAAAAAAAAATCTGTGGAGGTTGCTGGTACACACCGAACAAGTCCTAACTGGAATTAACAGCTTTAGCAAAGAACTCTTACCCTGGCAAAGTACCAACACGTGCTCCGTCCGACAAGGTGGTGCTCAACAACATTCCTCAAAATGGGAGATCTTCTCAGCCCTGAGGTTTGAATCTGACTTTAGCCTACCTAGCCCAGAAAATCTGAATTGGAATGCACTCAGACTGTATAAGGACAATCCTATCTAGACCTGTAATTTGTGTAAATTATTGATGAAAATAATTTACTGTGACTTTATTAGCAGCTGACTTTGAAAGTGGATGCAATTTTTCTTTCATTTGTTGGGGGGGGGAAGGGGGTAAGCGGGGGGTGGAAATGGGAGTCTGAAATGTCTCTTTTTTAAGTTTGGCAAACAGAATGTTCATACTGATGTGTTGTGCCTTAAAGACAAGACAGCGTTTGTGTGTTACAATGTAACTTTGGTTAAAATCTGTAGATAATGAAAAAAAAAAAAAAAAAAAAAAAAAAAAAAAAAAAAAAAAAAAAAAAAACCTTTGTGATCATTCTTAAGATGACCAAATTTAAAATTCAAGCTATCAAAAGCTTAATACTGCATCAGCAAGAAACTGAGTATTTGTTGCAATAAGAAAACAATGATAATAAAAGAAAGCTTGTGTTTTATTTGGGTTCTTAATAATTCCAATAATTATATGAGGCAACTACTTGTGCATCCAACCGTAAGCAGAAGGTTTGAGAAAGACTGTGGGACCTTTACTTAGAAAGTGAAATGTATGTTGAAGTCTCGAGTACCCTTTCTACAGTTCTCCTGGAGAAAAGTAAGAGCCATATTCATGACTACTTAACATTATTTTGCGTTTGACCTTCCGATATGTGTAAGTCGTGTAGAGGAAAATAGTCTCATTAAAATCATAAGCAAATAGTACCCAAACTTTCTTAGGAGAAGCCGTGAACATGGCTTAGAATTCACGTCGAGCGAACTATGGCTTGACGTCAAGCTAAGTGCATTCATTCCTGATGCCGTGGCAAAAACGAAAGGTCTTCCGTGGCGGAAGGCGAATGCCCAGATGGTTTCTAAAGGAAGGAGTGAATCGATGAAAATTTTACCTAGAATATCATCATAAAATAAATTGGCAAGTGAGCCAGATCTTGGGAGCAAGATCGAAATTGCAGCAGTGAAGTAGTATCTGGTTCTCTGTCTTAATGCGTCAGTCCAGTTTCTCTCCCTTAGAGACCCCTGCACCTTCATTTCTGCCTGCACTGTTTCTGCACAATGACCTGCATTCATTGCAAGGAGAACCTGTCATCGTCGTGTGTGCATGTGTTTTTTTTTTTTTTCGTGGTGTGTAGCCCACGTTAGGAACACGATACAGGTTCTCCTGTCATTTCGTATGACATGATTTCCCTTGTGGGAATTTAAGACTTCAAGATCTAGGAATGTTTGAATGGGGTGTGCACCTGCAGTTCTGTGTTTAAAATGTCATAATGTGGAACCAGGAGTCCAGTCCATAGGCAGCGCCCCTAACCAGAGGCTGGTCCGTGATCGCTTCGGTGGCTCCCAGAGATCAGTGCTTTGCACACTGATCGCAGCATTCACTATGGAAATGTGGTTTCATTTTGCAGGCTATAAACCCGTATTTCTTTACTGAATGCCGAGGCCATACTTCCATCGGACAGAAAGAGCTTGAGATCCAATGTTGCAGATTGTAAGGCTGTGATTTCATCATGCGAACCTTCAACATATTCTTTAAATTTTGTAACTTTTGGCTCTCTCTGCCCCAGGTACTGGTGCAGATAAAGTAAGGTTGCAAGACTTTTAATAATAATGATAATGATAATAATACTAATAATAATCTTACATTTATATTGGCCTTTAGCTTGAAAATAGCAGTTTAAAAAAATCAAAGAGCTGCACTGGCTATCAATAATTATGTTTTGTGCACTAAAACTTTAAATATTTATTACTGTGAATAAAACGAAATCATCTTTATCGCCAGTTTCTTTAAATGATAGAATTGCGGCATTATACCTAGATTTTTCATTCTTTTTCCATATCAAACAAGCAAGGCTTCTAATGCTGCTAAACCAGCAGGTACAGAGAGGAATACCCCTTCACAGGGCAAAGGGAGGGTCACCAATTACATCACCTAGTGCTGTTCCCCACACACATCTTCTCCCCTGATAGTGTGTTCAGAAGAGACTGCAAGCATAAAACCTAGAAGCTAGGTTGACAGAGAACAGTTTGGCACAATAATGGCGCACAAGCCAACGTGGCCGAGCTCGCAGCGTGTCGTGCAACTTTGAGCATGCTCAGTCTAGAACTCTGCCCTTCCTATGCTAGGAGCAGAAGATCCTCTAGCTTTCTGATCTACAAAAACAAACAAACAAAAATAAGCCAACAAGCAAACAGGAAGGACAACCCCTTTTGGAAATTCCCACTTTCTGTTGACATGGACTATTGTGCCTTACTGTAAACCAATTTGAAAAGTAATTTGGTCACTGAAAGGAATTTTCGGCTACTACATGTACACAAGTTGGTTTATCACCAGGGAAGGTAACCACCTTGGGTTGCACCTGAAAAATAGAAAAGCAGGTGGCCTGACTATAGTAATATAGCATACAAGATTAAGTCACTACACCCCTACGAAAGTTTGTAAGTCAAATTCCGAGGCAAAAAGTAGATTTTAGAGCCATGCATTTGGCACACAAAAAGTAGATAACCCTCTAAACGTGCTTTTTTTTTTTTTTTCTTAGTCTCTGGTGAGCTAAGATTCAAAATAGCGTGAAGAGCATGCTCCAGTCTGAAGTTGCTGGGTTTTGTTTTGTCTTTGTTCTTTTAAGCAAATTTGTCTGTGATGAGCCTATCTTCTCAGTGAATATGGCCTTCAGTGTTTCCTTCAGAAACAAATTGAAGCATCACGCACCAAAGTTGCATCTTGACTCGCAACTATGGTGGCATTTTGGAAATCTCACAGTCCAGCTCAAGGGTTTCTGTTATGTATTAGTAAAGTATAGATTATCGGGGCCTACATAATTTAAAGAAATGTAAATTAATATTAAAAGCCTGTAAAAATATGTACATCTTTACTATGTCTCAATAAATACCTTTGGAAACGTTTTCATTTTCTTCACCCTCCCAGGTTGTAGAGTCTTTGTTGTGTGGCTTTAGCTCGATTCTAAATAACGTGAAATCTATACTTGGGTTTCTTGGTGTATTCTCACCTTCCCTTGCTTGTGCCTAGATTATGTAGTTTGCATTTAAAGCGAGCTGAGATGTAACAAGGCAGAAGGTCACTCATCAAGACAGAAAGTGGGCTGGTGAAGGGAAAGGCTGTGAGTTGCTTTGGTTGTTACATAGAAGCAGTTACATTCCTGTGTTATGCAGAAAGTAGTTGCCATTTGCTAATGACAAAGCAGTGCCTTTTAGAGTATTTAAAGCACGGTTTTGTTTGTTGTTGTTTTTTTTTTTTAAGATGAATATGGGGTGTCCTTTATAAGTAGCTTCCCCAGAGTGATAGGAGTGTATTTCTTAAACACCTTTTAACAGCTTTATTACCTTGTGTGTGGTACTGATTTATTTGCAAATCTGTTGTTCAAATGCAAACGGAAGAGAAATTTCAGACGGCCTCATTCACGAGTTTTTTTAAAAGGTTCACGGCCAGGGGCGCCTCGGTGGCGCAGTCGGTTAGGCATCCGACTTCAGCCAGGTCACGATCTCGCGGTCCGGGAGTTCGAGCCCTGCGTCAGGCTCTGGGCTGATGGCTCAGAGCCTGGAGCCTGTTTCCGATTCTGTGTCTCCCTCTCTCTCTGCCCCTCCCCCGTTCATGCTCTGTCTCTCTCTGTCCCAAAAATAAATAAAGGTTGAAAAAAAAAAAAAGGTTCACGGCCAAATTGAGGAGGTCCTCTCTCTAAAATTGCACGTGGCCCCCAGCATTTCTATCCTTTCCCTGCTTTACCGTCAAATACTACTTCCTCCTTAGACTTCCCGTTATCCAACATGGCACATAGTTTATCTTTTGTATCTGATGACTCACCCACTAGAATGTGTGCTCTGCGAGGGCAGTGATTTTTATCTTATTGTGGTTTGCTCACTTCTATATTACCAGGATCTAGGAAAGTATCTGGCAGAAAGTAGATACTCAAAAGAAATAGTTGTTGAAGGAATGTGTAAACCATAGGAAAACACTTACCATGATCATGGTCTGAAATTAAAGAGATGTTAAAATGTTGGACTAGAATTAAAAAGAGAAAATGCGCAGTTAAGTTTGGTTGATAAATTTTTACCACTTACATGGAGTATCTGCTGGACTAATAATTCATGAAAATAAAGAGCAAGGATGGCCATAAGCAAAGATGTATTTGGAAAAAGAGTTAGCGTGAATGGAGAATGATCTGAAAAGAAAAAAAAAAAGTTTGTAGTGAATCAGTAATTGCTTCCTCTGCCCCCATTAGTCTTTTATTAAATAATAATAATATGCAACATCAGTAGCTTTAGTTGATTTTAATTACTTAAAGCCAGAAAATATCACGTAAAACTTAGATCTGTTTGCAAGGTCTGTCTGTGGTTTGTGATTCCGAGTTCCAGGAACAAAAAAAAGAAAGAAAGAGAAATGTATGATTTCGCTTAGCTAGCAAAAGAGAACCTTTACTTAACATCTGTGTATGATACGCACTCTTTAAATTAATTATTGGATACAGTAGTGTAAAAGAACATATATTCTCATTCATGGGCCACGACTC